AGCCTTTGGCATTGATTAGAGGGGTTGACTCTATTTGTTTTAACATGTTTCAATTTATTTTAGTTTTTTATTTTATCTTATCTTATCTCATTTTAATTTTTATTTACTTATGCTATTAGCATGTACAGCACTTTGTGAACTCTGGTTTTATGTTAAAGTGCTTTATAAATAAAGGTGGTAATGTATGGTATGGTAATATCAAGGCTCCGGAGTATAGTTTTATACACATGCACCTAACAAGAGAAAGATCCACAGTTTGATCCCAGGAGGGGACACAAATCCATCTGGGGGTGCATCAGGAAGGGTATTTGGTGTAAAAAGTCTGCCAGATCAAACATGCTGTGATGACCCCTTGTGAATAAGGAAGCAGGACATCCTATGTGTGAATGTGATAACTCAAGAACAGGTGATTTAGGATTTTCAAATTGATACTCTAGTTGCATCCTCAAGTTTTCAGACAATCTTGAGAACCCAATAACTCGGGAAGGAAGTCACCTAGAATTTATAGCACAGGTCTGTCTCCAAGGAGGCTAATTGCATACAGTCATCCTAAAAACCTATGGTATATACCATTTACAGCTTGGGAGCTTGTATGTACCTTTTAAGTGCTCAAGGAAACAGATACGTGCCTTTAATACCAATCGTTAGCCCTAGGGGTTCGTACATGTAGACACTGACTTAGTATATCCCTACTTCTGGAAGTGCAATTTAATTGAATGCTTCCATTTTGTGATGTAGGTGAGTACTGGGTGGATCCAAACCAAGGCAGTGCAGAGGATGCCATTCAAGTGCACTGCAACATGGACACTGGAGAGACCTGCATCTCTGCCAACCCATCCAGCATACCTCGTAAAGTGTGGTGGACCTCCTCCAGGAACAAGCCTGTGTGGTTTGGAGCCGACATGAACAGCGGAACACATGTGAGCAGCTACACACTTGTTGTGTGTGTCTGTGTGTGTGAGAGTATTTTTAAATCAATCCAGAACTTAACATGTTGTACAAATTTGTGCTTCTAGTTTGCTTATGGCAACAAAGATCAGCCATCAAACACCGTCGCAGTGCAGATGACCTTCATCCGCCTGCTGTCCAAAGAGGTTTCCCAGACCATCACGTACCACTGCAAGAACTCTGTGGGCTACATGGATGACAAGACGGGCAACTTAAAGAAAGCCGTGATCCTCAAAGGCTCCAACGACCTAGAGCTCAAAGCAGAGGGAAACAACCGGTTCAGATACACAGTGGTGGAGGACTCCTGCACAGTAAGTCCAGTGTTTCAACTGTTGTAGTTCAACACATGCCTGACGATTAAGATGGAGTAGTGAGTTAATACTGGACAGGTCTTCATCAGTCAAATCATAATGATGCTTGGTGTCTGCTGGGTGTGAAAGTAGGCAGCAGTTTCCAACAGATTCTATCAGGGTTAATACAAATCGAGTTTTTCAGCTTAATTTATAGCAGGAGGTGAGTGTATGTGCATGAACACGAACACTCAATGAACAGTGTGCTTAGGGAACAAACTGAGGAATTCGATGTATTTGAGGATTTGAAAGCCTTTTTCTTCAGAGTTCACTGACGAACCTGTGTTTTTATCTCTTTAACAGCAAGCAAATGGCAACTGGGGCAAGACCGTGTTTGAGTACAGGACACAGAAAACAGCAAGACTTCCCATTGTGGATATTGCCCCCGTGGACATTGGCGGCCGGGATCAAGAGTTCGGCGTCGACATCGGGCCCGTGTGCTTCTTGTAAAGGCGTCAGCAGGGAAGGGAAGTGTCGGGGAGAATCCCGAGACTGTTGAACTGACAGCTGATGCGATCAGCCACGTTGTACATACGAGTACCGAGGACTGTTGTGGCCCCGTGGCGAGATATTTATTGTGCCTTTCGACCCAGTTCAAGACGGCAAAGATTTGTTTTGGAATTTACATGAAAAATTGGTTTGAAAAAAAAAAAAAAAATCAGAATCATTCCTCTGTCGTCTTGTGTATGTTTGACTTCGAGCTTTGTGCATTTTCGAGGTCCAAAGATCTTACCCTTTAATTTCGCCAAAGAACATAGAAGCTTTAAACTGTTATTATGACTGCTGTTCGTAAGCCCAGAACATTTCCACTGAAACTACGACGTATGTCCCACCACTACTATTTTTTTTAGAGACTTCTCTATTTTCTTTTTGTTTTTTTACTTCATTGTCTGAATATAAAACATCTTTGTGGTGCTATTGAGGAAACAAATACAGCCGCTTATGCGTTCGCTGGCGCAGGTATTTTCTCATGAGAGTTCTGATGAACCGATGTCTGTATCTAGTTACTCAACACTCTGTACCAACCATGTAGAACATTAAAGACGCATGAAGACTGTCAGTCACTCAGTGTTAGCTACCTCGTCACCGGAACTGAGAACACCATGACACTACATGTAAATCTTTTGTTTCACACAGGTGCTGTTTTGTAAGTAGTGTGACCTTTGATCTTCTCCCAGCTGCGCGGTACAGGGCAGGGTTTGGGGATGCCAATAAAGATCTCTCTGTCAACAATGGGGAGATGAATGAGGTGTCATGTGAGTGATGTGTGGTGATTTGTAATTATTTTTTTGCCCCTTCAATTATACAATTATGGTACAGTTAAAAGGTAGCGATTTTTATGCATGTCAGCTCCCCCTTTGCAGTATCCTGGACATATATGCTCTTGAAATCCTTTTTTCAATACTCAGTTTTATAGAATAAGACGGCTGAGTGTGCCTGTTTGCTTTGTATTTTTAATTTTAATTTTTTGCTATGCAACAAATTAAACTAAATGCTTGTTAATCCCCCTAAGCTCTTGTCATATTGATTCAGGTATAGTTAGGCTCTTTGCGTTGGCCAGTTTTGCACCTAAATTCATATTTAGTTTAATTTACTTTTTACACAGAGTTTTCAATGTGAACAGTTTGTTTTACATTTTTCCTTTTTTTTGACTGTGCTTTTAAGTAATTCTCTTGTGACCATTTGGTTCGAATTTGAGTATATTTATTATAGATTTGTTAGAATTATGCAAGGCATGGCTGCCTGCAAACACCCCCAAGGCAGAGAGGAGGAGGAGGAGGAGGAAGAGGATGAAGAGGGGGGGTTCCACACTGGAAGCAGATGCGTTTCTTCCTTTGAAAATAAATATTGAAAATACTTCTCTCTGCCTGTTCTTGTTTGAGTAGACTTCATTTTGGATCTTTATAAATTGTCTACGATAGCAGCCCCAAGAGACCTGAACCTTTGTTTTAAGAGAAAAGAAAAAGAAAATCAGATGTGATTTTTTTTTTAACAGCACAACTGTAGCAACTGAAGAATTAGGACAACAACTGAGTGAATCACTCTCTCCCTGCCTGTGGCGATGTACTTAAGCACCCCAGTGGTTAAGGTGAATCTTAAATATGAGGAAAATCTGTTTAGACACTGAACCAAATCTGAGCTATTGCACCTCATGTCATAGTTATAGCTCATGGGGCATTCACAGAAGGTAGCAGTGATATGGCAGCTGAAGACTGAACACAAAAGGAGGCATTCCCAAGGTAGAGATATTACCAATGGGAGCAAAGGACTCCGATTAGTGGAACGTGACAGGTTGGCAAATAAAGTAAAAAGGTTACCTGGGCACAAATGGATAACTTTGTATACAGAAAGCATTTTATGGTGAAAACATATGATGAGCATAAAAGGTGTTTAGGGTAAAGTGTTAGAAAGTAACACAACAGGGGAGACATTCCCCCCCCCCTCTGTCCTCTTCTGGCCACCTGTGCCTCAATTTTATCTCACAACTTAGACATCCACATTACTTACACTCTCATAACACACACACACATATATATATATATAGGGCCTTGAGGGTGGGCACGTTAACGGCGTCCAGT